ATGACTCCAAATTTACCCCAAATTTTTATTACATTTTCTGATACACATTGATGTCCTTATGCTGTGTAGAAAGTTTGAGCTAATTCCGACTTTAATTTTTTGAGTTACGGCCATTTTATAAAAGGGCCAACATTTTGAAAAATACCCAAGGCTATAGTCCATGGTTTTTTCCAAAAAATGGCCAAAAAATGACTCCAAATTTTTATTAAATTTTCTAATACATATTGATGTCCTTATGCTGTGTAGAAAGTTTGAGCTAATTCCGACTTCAATTTTTTGAGTTATGGCCATTTTAAGAAAAGGCCAAAATTTGGAAAAATACCCAAGGCTATAGTCCATGGTTTTTTCCAAAAAATGGCCAAAAAATGACCCCAAATTTTTATTATATTTTCTGATACATATTGATGTACTTATGCTGTGTAGAAAGTTTGAGGTGATTCCGAGTTCAATTTTTTAAGTTACGGCCATTCTAAGAAACATCAAAATTCTGAAAAATACCCAAGGCTATAGTCCATGGTTTTTTCCAAAAAATGGCCAAAAAATGACCCCAAATTTTTATTACATTTTCTGATACATATTGATGTACTTATGCTGTGTAGAAAGTTTGAGGTGATTCCGACTTCAATTTTTCAAGTTATAGCCATTTTAAGAAAACGTCAAAATTCTGAAAAATACCCAAGGCTATAGTCCACGGTTTTTTTCAAAAATGGCTCCAAAATCACCCCAAATTTTTATTACATTTTCTGATACATATTGATGTACTTATGCTGTGTAGAAAGTTTGAGGTGATTCCGACTTCAATTTTTAAAGTTACGGCCATTTTAAGAAAACGTCAAAATTTTGAAAAATACCCAAGGCTATAGTCCATGGTTTTTTTCAAAAGATGGCTCCGAAATCACCCCCAATTTTTATTACATTTTCTGATACATATTGATGTACTTATGCTGTGTAGAAAGTTTGAGGTGATTCCGACTTCAATTTTTAAAGTTACAGCCATTTTAAGAAAACGTCAAAATTCTGAAAAATACCCAAGGCTATAGCCCATGGTTTTTTTCAAAAAATGGCTTCGAAATCAACCCCAATTTTTATTACATTTTCTGATACATATTGATGTACTTATGCTGTGTAGAAAGTTTGAGGTGATTCCGACTTCAATTTTTCAAGTTACGGCCATATTAAGAAAACGTCAAAATTTTGAAAAATACCCAAGGCTATAGTCCATGGTACTTTCCAAAAAATGACTCCAAATTTACCCCCAATTTTTATTACATTTTCTGATACATATTGATGTACTTATGCTGTGTAGAAAGTTTGAGCTGATTCTGACTTCAATTTTTAAGTTACGGCCATTTAAGAAAACGTCAAAATTCTGAAAAATACACAGGGCTATAGTCCATAGTATTTTCTGAAAAATGGATATAAAATTATAAAAAATTTTTTAATGACATTTTCTAATACCTTATGCAAGTATAAAAGTTTGAGCTGATTCCGGTTTAAATTTTTAGAATTATGAGCATTTTTACATTATATTTAGTGCAAGGTATTTTATTAAAGTGGCTTCTACATTATATATTCAATTCGCATCACACAATGTTTGATCATCTTCAGGTTGTTACTCGCGAGTTTCAGCCAAACAAACCTGATCCAGCCCCTGTCTCTCACATGGCATTAAACTGGGAGCTACCAGCGGAGAATATTCTGGTCGTTGGTGATGATAAAGCTGACGTCATTAGTGGACACAAAGCAGGAACAAGTAAGCAAAGTAATGATACTTCCTTTAAGTCTATTACTTTTAATTGCATGCTCATGAACTTCGGTGAATTTAACATGGAACCTTTAATTTTAATTAAAGTGATAACTTAATTTTTTTAAAATCTTGTAGATCTACTTAATGCACTTTGGTTTATTATTGATAATTAATTTATCCTTAGTGACTGCTTTGTTGATTAATGATGCATCAAAAGCTAGTGAGCTCACCCCAGGGACGCCTCCTTGTGATATAGCAATTTCATCTTTGCATCAATTACTAGAACACCTACAGAAACCTATCATCATTAAACCTTCAGACTAAACATAACTGTTAAAATTGTATGCATTCTACTTGTTTATAAAAATAATGTTTTTAGCAAATAAAAAAAAGTTCAGCAGTACACCGTAACTAATTCTTTATTGATAAAGAAACTGAAAAACAGAATCACCAGTCTTGCCTTTGTTTTCCTTATTTTCCCTTGCTTTGGAGCAGATACTTGGAATGTTAAATATTTCATGGGGTGGGTCGATCGCCAGAAAATCAACAAACTGAATTCCAAGTGCTACGCCAAACTTGACATCCATTTCCTGATAGAGCACTGGTCTTGATGGATAAGAGGGGGGAACCGCCAATGTGGCTGTCTTGAAAGGTGCAATCTGAAAATAAAAATCATCAAAATGTGTTTGCTTGTACAACGCATGCAAGGATTAGCAAACTAAAACCTCAGCTTCCCAGACGTCCACTTCTCGGTTGACTAATTCCTTTCTCCCTTGATAGACTGCTTTATCTAGCCACTGCCACAAGTCAGCTATGCTGCACTGTTTGACAACAAGGCATCTTTCATGATCCTTTTCGTTTTTCCTATTCGTATCATGCATAGATAAATTGGGCTATCATTATCAAAAAGTATCTGTGCTTTGACTAACATTTCGGTATTGAAATACGTAGAGTTATCATCACATCTCTGAAGCTGGTATAATATTTGTCCTGGAAAAAGAGGCCCTGCTTGTAATATTTCTCCTTTTTCTTTTTGTTCAACATTTTTGACAGTCACATTGACTATCTGCTTTCCTTGTAGAATCTTAGCCCAAAAACCTAATGACAAAATAATACAGATCTAATTAGGCCTACTTATAGCTTAGATCTACCTGTTCCAGAAGTTTTTCCTCCTTGCATGAAATAATCAATTTCAACAATCATCTATCAGTTGATTAAATTACAATAATGATACATTCACTGCTCACCCATGTCAGAAAACTCTCAGAGACATTAGGTCTTCTTGGTGCCAGTGGCTTTACTTGTGCTCCTCTAGCACTGGTGAAGATCAAAAGAGAAAGAGCACAGAGGACAAGTACTGCTGTCGGTAGATGCATGACTCTACAAGGCTGTTGTGTTAGTTTTGAAATGTGAGAAAGAATGATTACATTTGTGACCGTGCATGAATTTAATTAGCTTCATATTACTCTTATCTGATTGTTTTTGACTATGAATTTTACAATGATTGAATACAAAAAAATTCCTATCACTAACTAAAATGACAAAATATTTACTAAACCACAACGTCATAATTAATCAGTTCAAATACGAAAGCCCGCCTTCCTCTTCAAAATTTTGGACAAGTACATTATTTTGTCTTTTTTGATGTATTTGTGGAGAAAACGATCATGAAAGGAAGAGATATCTTTATCAGGTGAGCAATCCTGAGGTATTTTAAAATCAGAGTCGTTTGGCTTGTATGTGGGATCAAAACCAATGTAAATAGCTTTGTCAGTATAAAACGGCAAAGAAATGCTCGTAAATTCCAAGGGTATGTTAGGATTATTTGCTGGTACAGTGAGTATTTGAGTAAAATTCAAATCAGGATACTATATGGAAAGGTGTAATGTTAATACAGAATAAAACATTATTTATTTGATACTATTATTACCTTGCTTGTCCATATGTCCATGTTGCCTGCATTGCCAGTGTAATTGGTCTCATTAACCCAATCCCAAGTTGGTTGCAAGGGTAGAGCACCGGACTCCATGCGGCAGCTTTTGGCACCATTACTTGAATTACTTAAGTCCCTGTAAAAGTTCAAACATAAATAAACTTTATTTTATCTATTTTTTTGCACTTAGCATTTATGCAACCTTCAGGACAAATTAATGACTCACCAGGATGTATGATAAACTTTATCTGATATAGTGAGTGTTGAGAAAACCAAATAATCATCACCAAATTTTACGGTTCCATTCAACAGCATCCTACCTCCCTGAAAGTCCCTTTGAATGAAACCTGGAGAGAATTTATAGCTTAATGTAAATATATTTTATATACCTTGTTCTTCATAGATAGATTCAATTGTACTGTTTTGCATGTTAAACACTTCACTGACATACTATGACATTTAACAAAAAGATAAAACAAAAAGAAATTTAGACTAACCCAAGTTGAAAAGGTTTCTGATATTTTGGGCTGTGAAGGAGTGTCTGCCAACACAAGTCCCATTAATATTGAGGAAATCAGAAGAAAGCTGTAAGAGCAATGCATCCTTCTTGGAGTTACTATAGTCTAGCAAGAGTAGTCAGAGAGGATCCAGAAGAAAACTGAAGCAGGTGACAGGTCAGGTCAGCTTTATAAGGTCAAGGAATAGTGTCAGTAGGTAACCTCAAGGAGTATCCCCTATTTATTCAAGCCATACATGATACATAAACTAATATACATATACTTTGGATTATTTGTGAGTGATCTAAAAGAAAGATGAAGCAGGTGACAGGTAGGTCAGATCTAAGGTCAGGGAGTAGTGTCAGATAAGTAACCACAAGGAGTCTCCCCTATTTATTCAAGCCATACATCATACATGATAACACAATAGATACATGTGGATTATTTGTGAGTGTGCACAACAATGTGCGATATTTGAAAAAAAGCAACTAACACAAACAATCATTCACATTCAGTTTCCATAATGCAACATTAGCATAATAAAATCAAAAAAATATAATTCTGTCTTTACAATAAATTACTCAATCACATATTTTTACAAAAAGAATAGTCTTTGCTTCCTTTTGTTGCCTTTGATCAGCTCAAGCATTGGAGAAACTTGTTTGTTGCCTCCATAGCTGTCATTGCAGTTAGGAGGAGGCTGGAAGTCAGAATCAGCAGGTTTATACGAGGAGTCAAAACTATAAAAGACACTCCTAATGGCATATGTATGATCATATACTATCAGTGGAATAGTTGAGTCTTCTATAGATACACTTAATGAGAGATCATCTACATATGTTCGATTGAGACGACTGCCCTAAAAATATTATAATTTTTTAAAATTTGTAAAAAAACCAATTTTGATTGAAATCAACTCAAACTTTCTACACAACATAAGTACATGTACATGCATATGATAATGTTATAAAAATAGAGAATTCTCTACTTTTCATTTTTGTCAAGATTTGGCCCGGGACCATGTACTAAGTATAGCAAGGCTGCAAAAGTCATGGCAGCCATTTTGAAGTGGGGTGAATCCTACTTAGTAACGCTACCGTGTTACTAATAGTACAGGGACTTTGGCCCAATTTTTGAGCTACTTTTAAGATAATTAGTAAAAAAAATTAATTTGCTATCTGTACTCACAAAATAAAACCACTCATCCACGTTAAAGAAATAATCTCGTCCAGTATAGTTAGTGAATGGTACCCAATCCCAGATTGATGGCGTCATCAAACCAGCTGATTTCACGCAAGTCGTATTACCTTTAATGTCCCTTCAAAAAACACATTACTATAATATAATAACTGCTAATTTTGGTTAGCAAAACACAAAAAATTATTAATCGTTTAAAAAACTCTATTTACATGATTTGAATTACCAGGTGGTCAGGAATGTTGTGTTAATGTCCATTCTGTGAAGCTGGGAGTACTGATCAAGGAGTGTTCCATTTTCATATCTGATTGTGACATTTTGAATCTCTCTCCCTCCAGCTTGATCTCTTACAGTGTAACCTATAGAAAGAAAATGTTCCTTTTAAATCTTTAGATACCAGGTTGGTCATGTCATTACCGTTTGCCTCAATGGTCGTGTTGTAAGCATAAATTGTTTGGAAAATCTAAAAAACATAATAGCAAAGCAGCTAAGCTTATTTACAAAGTGGTAATTGGAGCCATACCCATGCTTTGTATGTCTCTGAAAACTTTGGTTGTAAAGGACCATCAAAGAAAGATCCCTCAGACACAACGAGAAGAAATAAAAGAAAAACTACTGCCATTACATGCAAGCTATGCAGCAGTTATGCAACAAAACGAGCCCCTCCCCCTAATGGATTTAGTTGAAAAAAAATTATTGTAAAATTGCAGCAAAAAAAGAGTTTAATTATCTTTAAAAATTACTAATCTACTGCAGCTACTAAACACTACTGAGTTCAATTCAGTTCAGCTCATTTACGAAGTTTTTTCATTCTTTTCCTCAGCATATTTGGAATCTTTTTATATTCGTGCAAAGGCTTCATGTGGTTCATCTTCATATGATGATGAATCTTTTCCTTTGATCTAAAACTGTGGAGAGAGTGGGGGAGAAAGTGAGTAAGTGGAGGGTCACTTTTTCCATTGGCTGGCTGGCAGTCAGTTGGTATATCAAAATCATCGTCAACTGGTGAATAATTTGGATCAAAACCAGAGAAGATGCTATAGGTAGATCTAATAGCTTCACCAGAATAATAAAAATCTCTTTCAATGTCCAGTGGCATAACAGGGTTGTTTGATGGTACACTCATAATAATAGTTTCATTGACATCATCCTGCAACACAAATGAACTATATTCATTCAAACTCATTGATTCTTACAAAATTTCCCCATACGTCTGCACCAAAATCATTGCCCATGTATGAAGCATTTTGAATCCAGTCCCACATTGGCATTAAACCAGGACCATAAAACTCGTATATGTAACAAGTCCTGTTGCCATCTTCATCCCTATAGGAGTTGCTTGTAAAGGTGATTATACAAAAGAAATCTTACCAGTAAGTGTTGTATGTTAAATTTTTGTTACACAGGACAAGGTTAGAGTAACTGTAACTTCTCATTAACGTGGTGACACTTCCAGCAAGTAGTACCCTGTTTCCTACCATGTCTCTTGCCATGTAACCTGTCAAAACTATATAACAGCATGATATACACATTAAATTTACCTCCATCCTCAGTTGCAATGACATTACCATCACCGTCTAAAACTAAACCAAAGGTCTGGAAAAAAATTCCTATCATATAAATAATCAAGACTGCCAGTAACTAACCCAACTGGAGAAGGTTTCCGGTATTTTGGGTGGCATAGGATCATTAGCAGTCAAAACTGCTCCAAATGACAAAGAAAGTACAAAAAGAGCTCCCACAACCAAAACCCATCCTGAACGACCGAGCGGACTAAAGTAGTTTTCCTGGAACAAGTCCTTATATAGAATTTCAAAATAATATGGTTAATCAAGTGATTAAGTGTATAGAAACTGAAAGTTTCAGAGTGCAAAAACATAGAAAGTTTGTCTTTTGAAATTAAGAAGTTATTGCAAAGTTACAACATAATCATTTTCAGGTCGCCACACATCATGATTATGTTACCGTATAGTACCAAATTTTAATCTGTAAAAAATTTGTGTGCTTCTGCTCCTGATATTATGCTGATTATAGCAGAATAACAAAAATTTTACTAATAAATATTAATTTGAAAAGGAAAAAATTAATTTTGACTGGCAGAAATTTGACACTATAAAGTGCTTGCAGTTATGCTTTGAATTTCAAATGTAAATGCAATGTGAAAGCTAAGTTTGAAAAAGTTTACACAACAAGTGCAGCAATAAACAAAAACACTGGATTGACAAAGGGACACACAAAATTCAGTTTCAGTACATAACAACAGTAAATCCTAGTGGTCTAAAATAGAACTCATTCCTTTACTTCTTTTAAGGTACCACTTATCTGGCCCAAGTGCATGCACATAGTATCTATCTACCTTGAACACCTAAGATAGGTTATATGCTTTGATATGATAGACCAATTCATATTGATGTCAAATCATTAATCACTACATACATAATAGTATAAACAATTAAATAATAGAAAAGTCTAGTTCTAGATCTAATTTCAGCAAAAATAAATCTATCTATCGCAGCTACTGGCAAATATGGAACAATTAGATCAAAAGTACATAATTTTAGGGTTCAATTCAGTTCAGCTCATTTACGAAGTTTTTTCATCCTTTTCCTCAGCATATTTGGAATCTTTTTATATCCATGCAAAGGCTTCATGTGATTCATCTTCATATGATGATGAATCTTTTCCTTTGATCTAAAACTGTGGAGAGAGTAGGGAAGAAAGTGAATAGGTGGAGGACCACCTTTTCCAACGGGTTCGCAGTCAGTTGGTATATCAAAATCATCATCAACTGGTGAATAATTGGGATCAAAACCAGAAAAAGTGCCACTGCTAGCATCAGTATCATCTGTACCATCTATTTCTAATTCCAGTGGAATAATGGGATTGTTTGAAGGTACACTAACAACCATACTTACATTGGCAGAATCATCCTGTACACAACGAAATTATACTTATTCTAATTTTATTGATTCTTACATAATACATCCAGATGTCTTCATTAAAATCACTGCCTATGTACGTTGCATTTTGAATCCAGTCCCACATTGGCATTAATCCAGGACTATCATTATCATATATGTAACAAGTCCTGTTGCCATCCGAATCCCTATGAATTTTTTATAAAGGTGATGCGCACAAAACATAAATCTTACCAAATTGTTTCATATGATGCATTCTTGTTCAATATGTCAAGGTAAGAGTAGCTATAAAACATGCCTGACATCACTGTAGTACCAGTTTGCAATGCTCTTTTTCCCAGCACATCCCTTGCAATGTAACCTTGCAGAACATATATTATTAAACAAATAATAAGTATAGAGATTACCCTCATCACTAGAAATAATAGTACTCTGATTGTCAACATCTAAAAAAAAGTACTGGATGGAAATATAATAAAACCAAAAACTACCAGTAACTAACCCAACTGGAAAAGGTTTCTGGTATTTTGGGTGGCATAGGATCATTGGCAGTCAAAATTGCTCCAAATGACAAAGAAAGCAAAAAAAGAGCTCCCACAACAAAACCCATCCTGACGAGCTAGTGGACTAAAGTAGCTTTCCTGGAATGAGTCCTTATATAGAATTTCAAAAATATTATGGTTAATCAAGTGATTAAGTGTATAGAAACTGAAAGTTTCAGAGTGCGAAAACATAAAAAGTTTATCTTTTGAAATTAAGAAGTTATTGCAAAGTTACAACATAATCATTTTCAGGTCGCCACACATCTTCATCATGTTACCGTATAGTACCAAATTTCCATCTGTAAAAAATTTTGTGTGCTTCTGCTGCTAATATTATGCAAAATATCAAAAAATTTTACTGACAAATATTAATTTGAACAGGAAAAAAGAAATTTTGACAGTCAGAGATTTGACACTATACAGTGCTTGCAGTTATGCTCTGAATTTCAAATGTAAATGGAATGTGAAAGCTAAATTTGAAAAAGTTTACACAACAAGTGCAGCAATAAACAAAAAACAATGAATTGACAAAGGGACACACAAATTAGTTTCAGCACATAACAACAGTAAATCCTAGTGGCCTAAGATAGAACTCCTTCCTTTCCTTTTTGCTCAAAACTTTTCTTCTGAGGCCCCACTCATCTGGCCCAAGTGGATGCACATAGTATCTATCTACCTCGAACACCTAAGCTAGGTTATATGCTTTGATATGATAGACCAATTCATAATGATGTCAAATCATTAATCACTACATGCATAATAGCATTATTTAAACAATTAAAAATAGTTTAGTTCTAATTCTAGTTTCAGCAAAAATAAATCTATCTACTGCAGCTAGGAGTTAAATCAAGAGTACATAATTTTAGGATTCAATTCAGTTCAGCTCATTTACGAAGTTTTTTCATCTTTTTCCTCAACATGTTTGGAATCTTTTTATATCCATGCAAAGGCTTCATGTGGTTCATCTTCATATGATGATGAATCTTTTTATTTGATCTAAAACTGTGAAGAGAGTGGGGGAGAAAGTGAATAGGTGGAGGGTCACCTTTTCCAACGGGTTCGCAGTCAGTTGGTATATTAAAATCATCATCAACTGGTGAATAATTTGGATCAAACCCAGAATAAGTACCACTGCTAGCATCAGTATCATCTGTACCATCTATTTCTAATTCCAGTGGAATAATGGGATTGTTTGAAGGTACACTAACAACCATACTTACATTGGCAGAATCATCCTGTACACAACGAAATTATACTTATTCTAATTTTATTGATTCTTACATAATACATCCAGATGTCTTCATTAAAATCACTGCCTATGTACGTTGCATTTTGAATCCAGTCCCACATTGGCATTAATCCAGGACTATCATTATCATATATGTAACATGTCTTGTTGCCATCCGAATCCCTATGAATCTTCTATAAAGGTGATGCACACAAAGCATAAATCTTACCAAATTGTGTGATATGATGCATTCTTGTTCAATATGTCAAGGAAAGAGTAGCTATAAAACATGCCCGACAATACTGTAGTACCAGTTTGTAATGCTCTTTTTCCCAGCACATCCCTTGCCATGTAACCTGGTAAAACATTTGATATTAAACAAATAATAAGTATAGAGATTACCTTCATTACTAGAAATAATAGTACTCTGATTGTCAACATCTAAAAAAAAGTACTGGATGGAAATATAATAAAACCCAAGACTGCCAGTAACTAACCCAACTGGAGAAGGTTTCTGGTATTTTGGGAGGCATAGGATCATTGGCAGTCAAAACTGCTCCAAATGACAAAGAAAGTAAAAAAAGAGCTCCCACAACAAAACCCATCCTGAACGACCAAGTGGACTAAAGTAGTTTTCCTAGAATGAGTCCTTATATAGAATTTCAAAATATTGCAGTTAATGAAAAGTTAAGCGTATAGAAACGGAAAGCTTTGAAGTGCAAACATGGAAAGTTTGTGTTTGAGGCAAAAAGAAGTTATCGCTAAGTTACAACATGATGATGAAATGATAATTGAGAAGGTTGCCACGCGCCTATTTACATTATGAATGTTAAATGTGAAAGCTAAGTTTGAAAAAGTTTACATAACAAGAGCAGCGATAAAGAAATAACAAACTGACAAGGGACACACAAATTCAGTTTCAGTGTGCAACAACAGCTATATTAGCTGCTGCAAAGTTATTACGACACAACACTTTACGCTTTCACTCATTTCCAGAAGACAAATTGAAACCACTCGCTGAAGATACTTGGAATCTTGTCAGTCTGTCCATCAGCGATAACTTCACCCCTACATTCGTCAGGTACACGGAATGAATGATTATCATGAGGTTGCTCTTGACGGAAATCCATAAAGGTGAACCGAGTAAAGTTGCCACCTTGAATAATCTCCAATATGTAAGGAGTGTTGTCCTTTTCTAAGTAAACTGCTAGATAATTTCCAGTATCCTAAAAAGAAAAAAATTAAAACATTCACATCAATAAATTACTGTCATACTGCTGCAATCCAGACTTGAAGCTCGTAAATACCAATCTTTCTGGTGCCATTATTCTTAGCCACTTTCAACCAGTCCCATATATGAGGCAATTCGTGAGGCCAAGCAAGCAAAGCATCTAAACATTGTCCCTTCTTCCCATCGACCCTAAAGACAAATTTTAAATATACTCAAATCGATCGTTCTTTCTTACTCAATGACATAATATTCTTCAGAGTCACGGGCACCGTAAAGAGTAAGATTAACGGAGCGGACGTGATGGGTCACATTGTCTCCTTCAATGTTAACTTTTACATCTAATTCCATCTCCTCAGCATTTACATCCCCACTTCTGACCCAAGTTCCTGTGTGTCAGTAGTAAAACGTTATTAAAAACTGGCAAACATACCTTCTCCATCAACAGTCATTTTGGCACTTGTAGAATTATACTGAAACCTGAACTATTTAATTATAATTATATGTACAAAATAAAAACGTAACCAATATCTAAGCAACTTCACACTAACCCTGGCCAAGAAAGATTCGGTGATCTCTGGAGGCGTTTGGGCCAATGCAAGACAGAAGAGAGTCAAGAAAATAAAGGTCTTCATTTTGTTTTTCAGATCAAACACAAATTGCAGCCCTGAATGTGTGAAGAACAATGATTAGCTTTGACCTCAGGCTTTTATAAAACAACACCTAAGGTTATCAACCTATCACATGTGTAAGGTCGAGGTCTAAATTGATAATGATGTCATCATTACATCTAATAATCAAACTATTAATAGACACAGCTTATTCATTCTCTGTGTCATCAAAATCCTGACTAAAATTCATATAATGTTTAGCAGTGGGTAGCATTGTCTCTCGACATATTGGAGGTATTGCAAACTCATCAGGATCAGTGGGTGGGCTCGGATGAAAAATCTTAAAGTCCACCACAGAAATATTGATATTGTTGCTTTCAGCAATGTAACGAACTGGTTTATGTATATGCGACCTGTTCATCCACAAAGACTGTGTATATATGCCTTCCTAGAATATAAATAATAATAATAGCAATGGGTAACACTCACTGTATAATTCCACACATCAAATCTGTTACCATCTACCTTTACTGTTCCTACAAACTTGGCTTTGCTAACCCAGTCCCAAACCTCTCCAAATGGGCCCAGAAAAGGCCGAGTCATGCAATATTTTCCTTCGCGCATATCCCTATAATATTTTTAAAAAAGCACATCATTATCTTACTAACTCTTCAACTCTGAAAATTCGTTGCTTATCGTAACGCTTGAGTTCATAATAGATGGATGGATATCCAAATCTTTTAGTTTGAAGGTTGACAAGCTGGTCCAATTTCTTGTAATCTCTGCCAATAAATCCTATAGCAAGAAATGCAAATTGTGCTACAATTGCTTCTTTATACCTTCTCCTGTGACTGTATAATTTCCTGGTATACTCTCATATATTACCTCAATCTTAATGCATTAAAAGAAAATGATAGTACATCTAAGTTTTTACTTACCTGAGCATTGAAAGATTCAGAGAGTACAGGTCTTTGAGGATGATGCTGAGCTAAAGAGAAGAGGAAAAATGAAGAGATCAGTAAATGTAAGAGGTAAAAATAAGAGATGATCAGTAGCCCTCTAAAGAACATTGTGAGGTGAGGTCAGTACATCAGCTAAGGTCAGAAAGGGTTTGGTCTATGCAAAGTATAGAATCCACACAAATTATAACCAGAAAATAATTTGACCATTTAGTAGAGAAATTATCATTTCTGAAATTAAACCAGCACTATAAAATTATGCTAGTTGTCATTTTTATCATCCTCTGTGTCATCAAAATCCTGACTAAAATTCATATAATGTTTAGCAGTGGGTAGCATCGTCTCTTGACATATTGGAGGTACTTCAAACTCATCAGGATCAGTGGGTGGATTTGCATGATAGATCTTAAAGTCCACCACAGAAATATTGATATTGGTGCTTTCAGCAATGTAACGAACTGGTTTATGTATATGCGACCTGTTCATCCACAAAGACTGTGTATATATGCCTTCCTAAAATATAAATGATACTAAATAATAATAGCAATGGGTAACACTCACTGTATAATTCCACACATCAAATCTGTTACCATCTACCTTTACTGTTCCTACAAACTTGGCCTTGCTAACCCAGTCCCAAACCTCTCCAAATGGGCCCAGAAAAGGCCGAGTCATGCAATATTTTCCTTCGCGCATATCCCTATAATATTTTTAAAAAAAGAACATCATTATCTTACTAACTCTTCAACTCTGAAAATTCGTTGCTTATCGTAACGCTTGAGTTCATAATAGATGGATGGATATCCAAATCATTTAGTTTGAAGGTTGACAAGCTGGTCCAATTTCTTGTAATCTCTGCCAATAAATCCTATAGCAAGAAATGCAAATTGTGCTACAATTGCTTCTTTATACCTTCTCCTGTGACTGTATAATTTCCTGGTATACTCTCATATATTACCTCAATCTTAATGCATTAAAAGAAAATGATAGTACATCTAAGTTTTTACTTACCTGAGCATTGAAAGATTCAGAGAGTACAGGTCTTTGAGGATGATGCTGAGCTAAAGAGAAGAGGAAAAATGAAGAGATCAGTAAATGTAAGAGGTAGAAATAAGTGATGATCAGTAGCCCTCTAAAGAGCATTGTTAGGTGAGGTCAGTACATCAGCTAAGGTCACAAAGGGTTTGGTCTATGCAAAGTATAGAATCCACACAAATTACAACCAGAAAATAATCTGACCATTTAGTAGAGAAATTATCATTTCTGAAATTAAACCAGCACTATAAAATATGCTAGTTGTCATTTTTGTTATCCTCTGTGTCATCAAAATCCTGGCTAAAATTCATATAATGTTTAGCAGTAGGTAGCATCGTCTCTTGACATATTGAAGGTACTTCAAACTCGTCAGGATCAGTGGGTGGATTTGCATGATAGATCTTAAAATCAGCGACTGAAATATTTACATTTTTACTCTCAGAAATATAACGAACTGGCCTGTGAATATGTGACCTGTTTATCCATAAAGACTGTGTAGTGATTCCTTCCTGTAACATATAAGTCATGATTACAATCATAACTTTTTAAAAGCTTAACTGTATAATTCCATGTATCAAATTTGCTACCATCAACGTCAACTACTCCAGCAAACTTAGCATGTCCAACCCAGCTCCATACCTCTCCAAATGGTCCCAAAAATGGGCCACGTGAGCAATATTTTTCTCCTCGTATATCTCTATATAATGAGAAAGTATCAATTGCTAATAAAATAGCCACTGACTCTGTAACGGTGAACATTTGCTTTAGGTCATGTCGCTTTAACTGATAGTAGATGGAAGGATACTCAAATTTTGTCAGCTGAAGATTGACAACTTGATTCAAGTTCTTATTATCTCTACCAATAAACCCTGCAATTAAAGAGCATATAATGATAATAATACTTGCTGGACATACCTCCTCCAGTGACTGTGTATTGACCTGGAATATTGACAAATTGAACCTCAATCTATTTTAGGAATTAGATTTAATATTGATGAAGCTGCATATTTACTTCCGCATTGAAAGATTCAGAGAGTACAGGTCTTTGTGGGTGATGCTGAGCTAAAGAGAAGAGGAAAGGTGAAGAGATCAGTAAATGTAAGAGGTAGAAATACGAGATGATCAGTAGCCCTCTAAAGAGCATTGTGAGGTGAGGTCAGTAAAGTCAGAGAAAGGGTTTGGTCTGTAGTGAGAAGAATCCACAAAAAGTATTTAACCAAACATTCCTGAGACCACTAAAATTAGTTTAATTATTGTTTTTTCTTATATCTTTCATCATCAAAGTCTTCACTAAAGTTCATATAATGCTTAGCAGTTGGAAGCAACACTTCCCGGCATATCTTTGGAACATCAAACTGCCGAGGATCAGAAGGTGGGTTTGGATGATACGTCTTAAAGTCTACCACTGAAATATTAACATTTATGCTTTCAGCAACATAACGGACTGGCCTATTGGGATCAGACCTATTCACCCACAAAGACTGTGTGGTGACTCCTCGCTGATCCTGCATTGAAATATGCTAATAATAGACAATTTTCTCTATCATACTCAACTGTATGGTTCCATATGTCAAACTTGTTTCCGTCCACATCAACTGTTGCCACATATCTTGCAAGACCAACCCAATCCCATATCTCTCCAAATGGACCTGTTAGTGCTTCAGAATCACAATATTTCTCCATTCTTGGGTCCCTGTTAATCATAGTCATTATAAGCTATGTCGAGTGATTGCTAACTCTGTTACAGTGTAAATCCGCCTGAGGTCATAACGCTTGAGTTGGTAATAGATAGTCGAAGACTCAAACTTGATTATATTTAGACTGACAACTTGTTTTAATTTCTTATTATCTCTCCCAATGAATCCTGCATTACCAAAAAAGCATTATTAAAAATTAAAAAACCTCATTACTTATAAAAATTATGTACTAGTGCCCTAACTGTACATGTATATGTCTATACCTTCTCCTAAGACTGTGTACTGATCTGGTATGTCAATGTATTGCACATAAATCTGATTGAATATAAAGACATTTCAGGAAATTTTCATTATAAGATTTATACCTGAGCATTAAAAGATTCAGAGAGCACAGGTCTTTGAGGATGATGCTGAGCTAAGGAGAAGAGGAAAGATGAAGAGATCAGTAAATGTAAGAGGTAGAAATAAGAGATGATCAGAACCCCTCTAAAGAACATTGTGAGGGTTTGGTCTTTCTTGATTGATTAATTAGTGGTTGAAGCCACAAAATTCGAGACAAAATTATCATCAAAAATGAATAAAAAAGTTTATAATATTATTATAAATCTAATCTATTAGTCCTTATGAGTGTTTCTAGAGATTCTAACTATATATCTAAACTATGTTCATTCAATATAACTGTAGATTCCATTCTATAATTTAGGAAACCCTTCGCTATCTTTCTTGCTCTTGATGGCATCGCCTAGCCAGGCCAATTCAGTAATAATCTTGTCAGCATTCTTTTCCAACCTCTCTTTATTTTCCCCCTTAAGCGTTCCATCTTCCGAAAGTTCATTTTGAATTTGAGGTATTACGAAGCATCCAAGTGAAGGCGATCCTAGCTCTCCGAGCAATGAACGAGCCTGGATAGCAGCTCTGATGCCTCCAAAGGACCCCATGGAGTAGCAAACGATACCACTCGGGCGATACTTGTATGCAGGGATTGGGAAGTGGTCCATCATGTTGGTCAGGGCTGGAGGAAGGCACTGGTTGTATTCCGCCGTTATGACCATGTAGACATCGGCTGCTTCGATGACTTTGACGGTGTCTTGGAGTACTTGTGGAGCTTGGGTGCGGTCTTCATAAAAATGAAGTGGTTTCTTCAAGAGAGGCAAACCAAGGACTTCTGGATCAAGGAGTGTTGCATCGTGGCCTTTTTCTTTAAGTTTTTTTCATGACAAAAGAAGCAGCCCGAGATCCCATATTATTATCCCTCACTGTTCCAAGGAAGAGGACAAACTTGAGAGCTTTGCCACTACTGCTAGCCATTTTCTTTTGTGCTGAGTTTTATGAGCTAATGAGCTATCTAGATCTAGGCTTAGCTCCACCCACACAATGATCCTTTAATTTTTAGGGAGTAGCCAACAACTTCTCTGCTAACATGTCCTCGAACATGTCTTCCAAAAAGCAAGTTTCTAACCCTCGCACGACTCATTTTGAATTCATGGGGCCAGTAGGAGCCTTCTTCATGACGCTAGGACTCCCGGTTGCTGTATTTGGCCTTTATTTATTCTGCAACAAAGACTCCTGTCAGATTTATCCACTCAAACGTCTCCTTCAAGTCAAATTGCCACCTTGCAACGAATTTTGGCACCCACTTGCTTTCCTGATATGCGTGGGATGGTTTGTTGCTAATGTCATAATTTATTTGATTCCTTTGGGGAGAACTGTACAAGGATCTCTCTTACGTGATGGAACTAAGCTCACGTATCGCATTAATGCAGTCTATGCTTTTATCTTGTCTCACATTGTCTTTATAGTTGCTTACTGCTACTACAAACTTAGCGTTAGTTTCGTTTACCATCACTACCTCTCGTTCGTAACGTCTGCTGTCCTTCTCTCATTCATTCTTTCAGTCTATCTCTATGCACGCTCATTTCGTAGCTCAGCCTTACTTGCTCTTGGAGGAAACAGCGGGAACTTCTTTTATGACTTCTTCATTGGACGAGAACTCAACCCTCGCATTGGAGCCTTCGACTGGAAGTTTTTCTGTGAGTTGCGCCCTGGTCTGATAGGATGGACGCTCATCAATTACTGTATGCTGGCAGCCCAATGGGAGAAGCATGGAGTGGTCAGCAACTCAATGATACTAGTCTGTGTATTCCAGGCCTGGTATGTCTTTGATGCCCTATTGTTTGAGGAAGCGATACTAACCACAATGGACATTGCTCATGATGGATTTGGCTTCATGCTAGCTTTCGGTGATCTTACTTGGGTCCCGTTCACATACAGCCTTCAAGCCAGGTATCTTGTAGATCATCCCAATCACCTCTCATGGTGGGCCCTGGTTGGCATCGTCGCTCTCAAGCTATGTGGGTACTACATTTTTAGATCCTCAAACTCGCAAAAGGACCAGTTTCGTAGGGACCCGTTCCACCCGTCCGTCAAAAACTTAAAAACCTTACCGACTAAAAGAGGTACAAGGCTCCTCCTTTCGGGCTGGTGGGGGATATGTCGTCATCCGAATTATGTTGGTGATCTTATGATGGGTCTCTCTTGGTGCCTGCCTTGTGGCTTTAATCACGTTCTTCCTTATTTCTATTTCATTTATTTTGCTGTCCTCCTCATTCATCGCCAGCTCAGAGACGAAGATAACTGTCGTGGGAAGTATGGTGACGATTGGACGAGGTATTGTAACATTGTCAAGTGGAGGCTTTTGCCAGGAATTTACTAAAGATTGCGGAACTTTTTGCATGAGCTATTATTTTTGCTACAATAGAAAAATACATGATCACAAAAAATATAAAAATATAACTGTAGTAGCCAAATGATACCATTTTCTAATTATTATTATTATTATTATTATTATTATTATTATTATTATTAGTTTTAGTTTATTTCTATTTCTTCTTCATTGCCTTTGATTTTGCAACAAAGATGCCTCTGGAAGTATTACTGTAAGGAGTTTCTTCACTCAGGTAATTGCTCCTCTGAGCAGAATGAGTTTGCATCCTATCAGAAATAAACGAACAAATGAAAGATATGAACAGAGACAGCTCATGCCTAGTTTGTTGCATACTTGCTCATTAGATAATGTGCTCCCTTTGACTTGTATTCATGCTGAGACCTCATGGTATCTGCAGCGTTTGTTAAGTCACTTAGAAGACCCTGGCAAAACTGCTCTCCAACTGATACCGATTCACTGATCTTCTTAGTAGCAGCCTCGAGGACTTTCTTAGCTTCAGAGTAGTTCCCTTGATCAGCCAGTGATCTTGCTTCCTTGAGTGCTGTAGTAGCTATGATCCTGTTCCTCTGTGAATCAAGTTTCTTGCTGGCTTCACCTCTAGGACCATCTACATTAATAATAATAATGATGATGATAATAAGTAAATAATTATTAATATTAGTCATCCATTTTTCTTACTGTTTCTTTCAAAGGTCATTGTGAAGTTCACTTCATCAGGCTTTGAATTAATTACGTTAAAGTACGAGAGTTTCCCAATAATTCCTTGTTGGCTCATGTCAGCTACAGCCGGGAGTTGTAATTCTAACAGAATGTCCCTCTCCTCTTCAGACTGGAGGTCACCCATTGTTATCTCACAACTAAAAATGAAATAAAGTAATAGATTATTTGACATTATAATAGTATTATTTTGGCAAATAGCTAATACATGATTCTGAGAGGTCTACCCAAAAAATGGCTCCAAAATCATCCCAAATTTTTATTACATTTTCTGATACATATTGATGTCCTTATGCTATGTAGAAAGTTTGAGGTGATTCCGACTTCACTTTTTCAAGTTATGGCCATTTTAAGAAAACACCAAAATTCTGAAAAATACCCAAGGCTATAGCCCATGGTTTTTTTCAAAAAATGGCTCCGAAATCACTCCAAATTTTTATTACATTTTCTGATACATATTGATGTCCTTATGCTATGTAGAAAGTTTGAGCTGATTACGACTTCAATTTTTCAAGTTACGGCCATTTTAAGAAAACACCAAATTCTGAAAATTACCCAAGGCTATAGCCCATGGTTTTTCCAAAAAAATGGCTCCAAAATCACCCCAAATTTTTATTATATTTTTTGATATATATTGAAATCCTTATGCTATGTAGAAAGTTTGAGTGGATTTAAACTAAAATTTTTGAAGTTACGAGCATTTTGAAGTGTACAAAATCATTATTGCACATACCATTTTCCTTTTGTTTTCCAAGTGGTAGGTTTGTTTGTGTGAACATTGAGAATGCTGGTGTTTTCTCCAGCCTCCAGTTTAAGAGTTAGGTTCTGTCCCATTACACTGAGCAGGCCACCCAGGCAATCAGCAAATGACTCTGGAATCTTTAAGAAAAAAGGAGAGGAAAAATGATCAGTTTTTATAGCATAAGTATGAGGGAGTTTTCTATAGCTTTCATTCACAGTGTTAATTTGGTAAAGATGGAATGTAATGCATGGACAGTTATGACAAAACTCACCTTCTCAGCTGAATCGATGTAGTAGTATACCCCACCTCCTTGAGTTGAGACTGATTCCAACAGACGTGCATCGTGATCAGAACCGAAACCAAAAGTATAAATGGTCCCATCAAATGGCTATAAAACAACAAACATGAATCACTTGGTCATATCCATTAATCTCATCCACATACCGTATTCCCTGGCTTAGGATCAAGGACTTTCCTCATCTCCTCCATTATTCCTTCACGATTTGAGATGCCGACGTTAGCCAGGCCATCGGTAAGTAGAAGAACTGATGCTACTTGAGCTTTTGTCCCTGTACGCCCAATAATTTGCTCCATGCCTAAAAAGGAAGGAGACTCACATAATGACAATCATAATGGCATTTGTTCTTCATACCTTTCAGAAGACCTCCACAAAGGTTTGTGGACGAGCCATCACGTATGGCCTTTACAGTCACTTTGCTCCGTTCCTTGTTCTCTTGATTCATGGTCGTGAGTCCAAAGTCGACTTTAACATTTGTATCATAAGTGACAACAGAGAGTCTATCAGTGTCCTTTACTACAAGAGAAAATTTAAAGGAAGAGGGAGGGTATCATTCATAGACATGTCTTTAATGTACCGGTACTTACATTGATCAATGACAAATTCAAGAGTCTCCTTGACCAGGTCAAGTTTTTCCCCGTGCATGGAGCCGCTCTTATCAATGACTGCAACAATATCAACGGGAGCTCTTGATTCAGGCTCGTAAAAAGGAGCCTTTAGCGTACAAACGCCCCAGCCTGTCTGTCCCACCAACGGATAAGCTGCAAACTCTGTTGTACAGTTGACGCCAATGCTTTCGTTAGAAGATGCCATGCTGCTCGGAGTAATACTGAGTCTGATTCAACCGATTTGATAAAGATCTGTAGCTTCTCCCTCTCGTTATTTATACGGACTCATTGCTTATTCATCTCGCGTCGGTGTAATGCCACGATTTAATTTAGTAACATGTACTAAAAATAGCCACAGTCAAGTGACGATGAATAAATTCAAACTAAAATAGAACAAAAACAAGCAATAATAAATTATAGTTATTTGCTCTTTTTGGAATTGGCTTCATATTCATCAATGATGCCAACCAACACATCATCCAGTGGAGGGTGCTGAGGCCATCCTAACATCCTTTCTGCTTTGTCACTCCTAAAGGTATAACTCCTAGTTATAAACTCAACTGAAGCAACATCCAAGAACTGATTTATAGGACAATAGCCTGTTAGGTTGTAAATTAAAACGTTGAAAAACGCTGCCACTTTCACAAGCCACTTAGGATAAGACGAGCGCCTAGGATGACCCCAGGCGGTATAGCCAGACTCATCAAGACCATAATTAGCTAGCTCTCGCCATTCGTACGACACACCTCCTAATTGAAACACCTGCCCTCCAATTTCTTCAGTGCTCTCCCTTAGCCTCTTCTCCGCTAGAATGTGACCATTAGCGCAGGCACCAGCCTCAACAAGAGACTGCTGAGAGGTCCCGTCACCAATGTACCCTCCTCGGCTCATCAATAGACCATGACATAGACCAGAATATGGACTGGCTATGATTGATGGTCTAATGACACACGTGGCCATTGTAGTCGAGTTAGCATCCAGCACGATTCGCTCTCCTTCGGCTTTCGATGCAGCGTAAGCATTTAGAGGGTCTTTCGGATAAGGGTAGGTTTCGTCGGCCATTTTAATGACTTGATCTTTATCGCTACTAAGAACGACGTCGCACGTACTGGTATATATTAATCTTTTTACTCGAGCTTCCTTGCAAGCATTCACCACATTCCTAGTACCGTCTCTATTGACACGAAACAATTCGGAGTCTTTGGTTTTAACTGTAGGGATAAGTCCTGCCGTTTGAAACACAACGTCCACTGGAGTCTCTTGGAAAGCAATGGCAAGCTCTTCCGGTGAACATATATTGGCTCTAATGTAGGACGAGACACCAGGAATCATCTTGCTTTCAGGCGGTATGATTAAATCAAGTGAATGAACTACATAATTACCATCATTGACTAGCTGCTCAGTTAAGCATTGACCCAAATTCCCAGAGCCTCCAATGACAAGGACAGAAATAAGAGACTCTTTATTTTCATTAGATTCTTTATTAGTTACAACTTTCCTGTATGTGAATTTTTCGGCCCCTCTCTTCTTCCTGTATCTCTTGTACAGTGCTATTGCTAGTATGAAGAGAAAGGCCAACAACGCGACATTGTTAAAACTGCTCAGTAGCCAGCTCCAGGGGCGGTATAGGGACTGGAAGGGATATTCAGAGGGACGCTTCAGAGCGAATCTTCTCTCAAACATAGGACAGCCCATCTTGAAAACTCAAATTGAAAATGTCAATATGGCCTCGAATATGGCGCTTTCAGCTCGGCTTTCAGGGCTGAATACACGTTACTGAATAAAACGTGTGGGCGTTAGATTAGAAAAATTAAAATCATTACATTATCAACGATCATTATTATTGAATAATATCAAAATTAAATAACAGAGTTAAAATAATAAAAACAATAATTTTCTGATTCTAAAAACATTCTTGTTGACATTAAAAATTAATATCAAACCATAAGTCTAAGCTGTTCCTTGTAGCTCGATTTCTAGAGCTTTCAGTTGCTTAAAAAACCCAGCATTAGGATCAGCATTCGGTCTTGTCTCCCTTATTTTCCCCAACGCCTCCTCTACAGTCAAGGACTTGTCTTTATGCATCATATAAGCTACAGCTATGGACACAGAACGGGACCTTCCAGCTCTACAGTGCACCAGTAGCCTCCCATCCTCTTTGCTTAATGCTTCATCTATGAAATCCTGACATTTTGAATAATGTTGCATTAAAACTTCATCTTCATCGTCATACATAGGGACACTGCAATATACATAGTCTGATGGAAAAGCGTTAGGTAGATCAGCTGCAACATTGAGAATGTGGGTCACTCCTAGCACAGAGAGTGCAGACTTGTCATATGCAACGTCTTGGGAAGCAATAAATAGTCTTGGAAGAGCCACCCCAATCTCTTTGTCTGGTCTAAGGTCTGGACAGAATCCTAATGATTTCCCTTCTTGCTGGACTAACTTAATCTCACCATCTGCTTCTCTTGTCTCTAGGAATCTTTTCCCATCACTTGTAGTGATGTACGTAGGTACTTGCTTTAGTGAGTTTTTGGAAGAAAAGGATTCTATCTCTTTCAGAAAAGCTGCCATGACTAAGATTGGAGGCGGGGCTAACATTATTTAGAACACGCCCATAGATCTAAAATGGCTACCAAGGAAGAGGTCGAGAAGAAATTGATGAGTAAACAACTCGAAGAGAAAAAAGGTGAAGGTGAGACAGAAGATCAGAAGGAGAAAGATGTAAAAAGAAAGAGAGAGATAGACGAAAAAGAGCTTGAAAGGTAAGACTCTAGAGCTAGCAAATACAAAAAATAACTATTTATTTCAAGATTTATTAATATCAAGATTATATGGTATTATCAAGAGTATATGTTATTATTAGACTCGCCGTAGAGAAGCTGCTAAGTGAAACAAAGAGAAATAAGATGAGGGCAGATAGAGAAGGAGCTAGCGGATGGTAAAAATTTAGATTTGATTCTATTCAGAACTTTCCTCCCCCTCCTTCCTTCTTGTAGGTATGATTTCCCACGGCCTAAGGCAAACAAGAGGTTTGCCCGGGCAGTTATAAAATCAGCAGTTTTAGGTAATAGTATTTCATCAAAGAATAAGAAGACTGAATAAAAAGAACAAGAGAAGAAAGAAAGAATGAAATAGTAGGGGCAGAAGAACAGAGAGAAGAAGACGATATAAATTATAATAAGAACAAATTAATAATAATAATAATGTATTTAATATATTTAAATTAATAATATTATATTATAATATAGAGATAATTAATGAATGAAAAGAAAAAGCACAAATATGTGCCTACGTCAATCTAATATAATTATTATATCCATGCATCACTAGCCCGCTCGTGTGATAAAAATGTGACACACACACAGAAACACTGTACATAAATTAGCTAAGTTCATAATATACATTTTTGTGATTAAAAAGTATTGAAATACCGTTTAAGGCACACGTCTTTAAACTCTTCACACCAAGGCAAAGGATTTTCAATCATGCACCCGGCAAGAATATAGTCCTTACACAAAAGTGGAGCTATCTTCTCGTAGCACCAAATATCCCTGATGATCATACTTGTGATCTTCTCCATTGACCCACTTTTGAAATTAGCGTGAACAATAAGTGGCTGCTCTCGATTGGCCCAGAAGTCAAAGTACTCCTTGCCGTTAGGAAAAAGGGAGAGAGGGAGGAGAGTCCAGTTAATGTGGAGGGAGTGATGGCGTATGCAGATATTCAGTCCAGCCTGATCGTTCCATGACTGATTCCTCTGAAACTGTAGCACCGACTGGTAGAGAAGCTTGGTCTTGTTGTTCACGTTTAAGTACATGAACCCACCACAGATGTAAGGGAAGACATTGTACGCGAGTGAGTCTATGACTTGAAGACCGGTGCTGTCTCGCTGGAGGACAATATCACGATACTCTAGTTCCGTGTCCAGTCTCTTGAGAGGGTTCTGTAAAAAAACAATATCGGCATCAGCGAGGAGTAGCTTCTTGATGCCACAGGAGAGAAGGCGGAGTATTATCTTTGTTCTTTCTATCATGAACTTCTGATACCCGGGCTGACCAAATTTAGTACTCGAAATGGCAGCACCTTTCTCATAATGACAAGGAGTATCAGGAAAATTGGAGCAAACATTCGGCTCGACGGTAATGAGTAAAATGTGCTCCCCAAGGCCAACTTTCCTGGCAGAGCAGATCCAATTCTTTGTAAGGTTTATCCAACCGGCGTTAACAAATGTCACAACAGAAACACCATCTTTAATAGGGATTGGAGTGGCAAAATTACATGGGTAGTGTTTATCAAAGTCAACTAGTTTTTCTTTATTAAGATATGAAGTACAGTATGAATAGCCTAAAACTTGACGAGGAGCAAACCTGATCTCTTGAAGAGTAGATCTGAAGCAGACTAGCATAATACTAATGAGAAATAACAGGGAGACTACTAGAACAAGAAATCTCAGTCTCCATCTTAACTGTAGAGGAGAGAGTGAGAAAAGAGAGAGACAGACAGAGTGGAAAGAGAGATGAATGAAATGATGTCAATACTCTTTCTGAGAAATGACGTAGAGTTGTACAAAAGAATTAAATACAAGTTTGTGTACTGTAAACAGTGCCAACACTACAAGTGCTAATCAACAAAAACTAATTACATAACTCCTAATTAAATAACTTGACTGAACTTACAAAATGCCAATATTATTGGGACTATCAATTAACTCATAAAAGAATATTAACAAAATAACAACGACTGAGTTCGGTACAAGTTGCATAATGTACATTAAATCACCAAGTCAGTCATGATGATTTAAGGCTAGTTTACAATATGACATTAGGCCAACATACCATCAGTTTTTAATCAAAAGCATGGGCGATTTGACCTTTTGACGCATGCTTTTCTACTAGAATAGAACCAGATCCTATTCTAGCATCTATGTAACGTCAGGACTTGCGTAATATTGTAAACCAGCCTTAACTGTAACAATCTTGTACACATATTGGCAGTATAGACACATACACAATAAGCATTGGCAAGAATAGGACAATGATTTGAGTAGTTTCCTCCTTAATGATTCGTTTAGATCTATGTACTCTCACTCTTACAGTAAAGGTAACTCACTTTGGTCCACCGACAGTTCAGCCACGGCGTACAACCATAGGGAAGGTAGCGGGCCCTAAAACCTCGATAAAAGGTCTTCAGTAATACGGGGCTGGAGTAGAGTTCTCTCCAATCCATTTTCTCTACCATTTCAAACAAGAAGGCTCAGAGAAGGCTGTGGCTAACTCGAGGATAAATCCAGTGAACTTACTGAACCTAACATAAAAGGGCGTTAATTAGAAAGTTTTATTAAAAACCACGCCTAGCTATTTATAAAAAAACTAATAATTAGATAAAAATTATTAATTTAATTATCAGGTGCTGTTTCTTGCTTGCTTGTAATTCTACTCAATATCCAGGTAGAGATGAGCTGACGAGCTCTATCTTGCTCTTTGTCATGGAGTATTTCATGACGACAATCAATAAACACCTACAGTATTTACAATAACATAAATACAGCATAATACTATAACAATCTCTAACTGCATTAACATATAAACTGTCAAACAGTTCATAACAGAGTTAATTAAAATAACTCAAATTTGACAGTTTGAAATTGTATATAATAGTATACTATAATACCTCTAGTGTTTTATCTGTGCTTGAAGCATTATTATGAACCAATTCAGACGCAGCCATTGGGACAAGTTGGTCATCAGATCCATGCATTATAAACAGAGGAATTGAAATGTCCCCAAGCCTTCCTTCAACGTATTGTATCCCTTTCATGAAAGCCAAGCCCCAACCGGCTTTAAGAGGAGCGTGGATTATCAGTGGATCATTAACATACTCTGCAACCTAAAAATAAATTTCAAAAGAGCAAAAAGGCTGGCCATTACAATTATAAATTCATTATAAGCTCACTTCTTCCGGAAGACTAGAAATTGTAGAAGTATTAAGAGTTGATATACCAAAATTAGGTGCAATGGCTCCAATGATCCTTGCAAGCAATCTCTAAGATAAAAAGGATCCACTGGTACAGTATAGAAATGCTCCTACTATACCTTTATAGGCCCTGCTTCATTAGGATCCACCATTAGCGATGGAGCTGAGAGAAGGAGGCCTATGAACATGCTCTGCCTTTGAATAGCAACTATGGTAGCTACCAAGCCGCCCTGAGGAACAAAGAACAAGTAAATAAATAAAATAAATAAAAATAAATAAATTTTAAAAAATAAATAAATAAAGGAAGATGCATAATGTCTGACCATTGAGTGTCCCATTAGAAACATTGGTTGTTCTGGGTATTTTTCTTCCATTTCTTGTGCAAATCCAATCACATCGGTTGCATATGATTGCATATCATCAATAGATCCTCTAACCCCTTCACTTTTACCGTGACCAACTATAAAGAAGTAATTATTGTATTTCTTTTTCTCACTTTCTTTCTCATAACTGTCACTTTCTCTTTGTCCCTTTAACTCTCTCTTTATTTCATCTTACCTAAGTCAATCCCAAAAACCAAGAGACCTGAGGATTTTAAGTGTTCGGCTAGTTTCTCATAACGCCCCATGTGCTCATGAACACCATGACAGATACAAACCAATCCCCTACAAATCAAAAACAAAATAAAACAAAATGTAATAATATATGTCAATACACTAAAGGGTACATTAAAACTGGATATATAGGCAGTCATGTTGCTGGATTCCATTCAATGCAATCAATTTGAGCATGTATGCATGAATAGTCATTACTTTGAGGCATGAAAAAATATTCTTTCAAATTGACTAACTTTATATCTTGTGCTTCTGGTTTCCAGATATATGTCTCCAGTGGTTGATTGCAATAGACACTTCTCCTTCTTGTATCTTCTTTTGGATCCTGATCAGCATCAGCGTTAGGTTGATCGGCATCAGCATTAGGTGGATCAGCATCAGCGTTAGGTGGATCAGCATCAGCATTAGGCTGATCGGCATCAGCATTAGGCTGATTGGCATCAGCATTAGGCTGATTGGCATCAGCGTTAGGTTGATCGGCATCAGCGTTAGGTTGATTGGCATCAGTGTTAGGTTGATCGGCATCAGCATTAGGTTGATCAGCATCAGCATTAGCATTAGGCTGATTGGCATCAGCATTAGTGTTAGGTAGATCAGCATCAGCATTAGGTTGATCAGTATTAGCGTTAGGTTGATCGGCATCAGCATTAGGTTGATCGGTATCAGCGTTAGGTTGATCGGCATCAGCATTAGGTTGATCGGTATCTGCATTAGGTTGATTGACATCAGAGTTATCAGTGTTAGCATCAACGTTGGGTTGATCTTGATCAGAGGTTTCATTAGTACCACTGGTAGCAATCACTTCAGAGTTACTGGTCTGGTCAGATTGTCCTTCTTTTTTAGGATCTTCAGGAGAGGCTGTTTCTCCTTCTGGTACCTCCTTTAAGTCTTCACTTGTAGTTGCCATTATTACTTCTTTCTCTAGCTCCTCAGTAAAGTGACTTTAATAGCGAATAGCTATAATACAGTGAACCATAAATATTTACTCTAAACTAAAGAAAGATTACTCGAAAGAACATCCGGTCTGAGCCCTGCCCAAAGGCTGGTATAAATGGCTGACTGGAGAAAGAAATTTAGTTCACTTTCTCTCTCAAATGATGGACTAGCTACCAAATCAAGCCAAGAGCAAGTAAATGTAATTGTATCTAATTGTACCTTTTTGTAAAATCAGGAGAGATGTGAAGCATCTGTTGCAAAATTATTCAAATCATACAGAGACAATCCAGAAGCTGAAAAGTAAGTGAAAGAAAAAAGGTCATGAAAATAATTATACAATATTTTAAAAGAATATATTTGTTTCGTGAGATTCATATTGCTTATTTGGAAAGTGGCATTAGGAAATTGCCATATCATTTTGAGGTTTGGTTTGATTTCAATTTTTGCTTCACGTTAACTTGATCATTATTTCTCTTCCAGTGCTTGGATGCCAGCAGGCCGTGGCTGTGTTATTGGATATTGCATTCCTTGTCTTTGTTGGAGCATGAAATCTCACAAGATTTGACCAGAGAGTTAGGCAAATATTCATAATAAATATCAATTATAATAATCTGTTATGTATAGTATAATCGATTTTTTAAGAAGGTGTCAATCACCTCATGGTGGGTTTGGAGGTAAAGCTACATAATGTAATGTGTAATGATTCCATCCACATTATCTTCATTGAGGGGGTCCTGGTCAGCTACCTCATTTGGCTCCAACTTATGCAGCTGTGCTTGCTTTGTGCATACTTGGGACTAAAGAAGCATATGATATCATTGACAGGTATGAATAATAATAATAATTATTATTATTATTATGTGTATATTCCTTATAAATGTGTAGACCATCATTGCAGCTCTTTTTGTCTCAAATGCATCAACCTGATGGAAGCTTTATCATGCATTTTGATGGTGAGGTGGATGTGAGGTAAGGGAGAGAGAGAGAGAGAGAGAGAGAGAGAGAGAGAGTATGTACATTTGAGCTTACTTTTGTTTTACAGAGGAGTTTACTGTGCCCTTGTTCCGGCTATACTCACAAACACTTTAACTGATGATATGATTAGTGGTACAGCAGACTGGGTAGCAAGGTATACAGTCTAAATTTATCACTGATGATAATCCCATCTATTGCATCAGTTATGAAAATGATTCCATGGGTGAAACTGTGTTGCATTATTATAAAAACTAATGCTCATGCAGCTTCTTGTCAGTGGATTGGAAGATCCTGTACTATAGTACAGGATAAATCACAGGGAGAGGATTCTCCATTTTTAATTATGTTATCTGATGCATATACATGTACTTATGTTGTGTAGAAAGTTTGAGCTGATTCTGATCAAATTTGGATTTTTTTACAAATTTTTAAAGTTGCTACAAATTTATCTGCTATTTAGCTCACTTAGCACATTTTGTGGTAATCTCAGAACTAACATTATCTGAGGCTTTATTATTAGTTGCCAGACTTATGAAGGGAGTTTTTCAGCTGTTCCTGGGACTGAGGGACACGGTGGCTATGCCTTTTGTGCATTTGCTTCACTTCTTTTGCTGAAAAAGCAGAACCTCTGTGACATTCATCAACTACTTGTTAGCTCATTAATTTTATTAATCATAATCATTATTACTTTTATTTAGAAGTGGGCATGCCACAGACAGATGTCAGTAGAAGGAGGATTTCAGGTAAATTATACATTAGAATCATTTGCAATGTACAAATGGATTATTTTTAGGGTAGAACTAATAAACTGGTTGATGGTTGCTATTCTTTTTGGGTTGGAGGACTCTTTCCTCTTATTTATATGTCATTGAAGCATTCTGGTACATGTGAAAGAGAGAGAAAGAAAGATTGAGAAAACTGGAAACATTGAAAATGAAAGTGTGTATTTTTGTAGGAGACAAAGGATTACAAGATAATCTGTGGCACTTTCATCAAGGTGAGAGAGAAAGAGGGAGAAAAAGAGAAGGATGACATTCTTACCTGTAGAATCACTCCAAGAGTATATACTGTATTGCTGTCAATATCCTAGAGGTGGGCTGATGGATAAACCAGGAAAGTAAGGGCATAGAAAAAGAACAAGTAGGATAAGAATTATGTTTTATATGTTGTCGCATACTTTAGAGGTAGAGATTATTATCACACTTGCTATTGTCTAAGTGGTTTATCAGTATCACAGCATTGCTTTGGAGGGAATGAGACAATCAATATTACAGACAATAAGAAAGATCTTTTGGTTAGTTCACACACGTATTATGGGTAGGTTGAAGCAATAAAACTTTAAACTAAGTAAAAATGGCTCTGAAAACACCCTTTTTTAGTACTTTCATATACTATTTTGAAAGTTTGAGCTGACTCTGTTATTAAAGTTTTTAAATTCTTCGCATGTGTACAGTAAAGTTTTTATTAGATATCAACGCATCCACTCTTCAATATACCAGTGGACAAGGTTGATCAAGCAATGGAGTATTTCACTCAAGCACCAAAAATATCAATTCTACAACAAACTGAAAGAAAAACATAAATCAAATTCTATTTTAATATTCAATTGTTCAAAATTAAATTATTATGAAAGGTCAAAAGATAATACACACACACACAAACAATTAAGCAAGCATCCAAGCTCATATTCTAAAAATTACAATCTAAACAAAAAGAAGCATAATAATATAATAATAATAACAATAATAATAATAACAATACTGCACTCACTAGAAGCCTAATGTAAGGAACCAAGCAATAATGAGCAAGTTTCATTAATAATAATAATAATAATAATAATAATAAGGTAATTATAAGTCCTGTATAGAAAAGGATTTAATGCAGCCATCCAGAAGTAATCACTGCTCCACAGTCTCGACCTGAGTCTGCACTTTGGAGAAATCAAAAGGCTCTCCCATTATCCTCTCATATATATCAACTACATCAGTACAAGTGGTTTCAAAGTGTGTAGTAGCATCATAGCTTGATGATATGAAGACCTATTTAATAGCAATAGTGTAAAGGCTAATCCACACTGCAATAATGCAACATTACAACTGGTAATAAGCATAAGACTTAAAAAATATGCAACTCCTCTATTTTATGCATATAGAGTTGCAAGCTCTTCCAGTTGTAATGCATTGCATTGGTAGATATTAGTTCTGTAATGGTTGGGTGTATCATTAATTACCCTGCTCTCCAGCCCTTTATCAACAGGGTGATACAAATCCTTCACAGTCACAAATCTAAAAGATTACAAAGAATGAAAAGACTAATAATTACATTAATTGTATTAGCTTACGGGCCAGCAGCAATTGGTCCAAGAAGGTCTTGAGCTACTTTAATCTCATTCTCTGGGTTTGATGTCTCTACAGTAGTGCTAATGGTGGCAATGTAGTAGCTCTTAGCAGCAACATTGTGAGTGTGAGAGACACAGCAGACATAGATATCTATAAAGAAAATGTAAATCAGTAAACATGAAATGATTAAAAAAATTATATATGAACACGTAATGAACTGATTGTACAATAGCATTGACTTTCCACATAAGAATAGACTACACTATGATATTGTAGTGATGATTGGGCATTGTGGACAGGATGAAAACTTTATGTAAAGATAAACAATCATTGAATTGACGTACCTGATTGTCTCCCAACTTGACTCTGAGGTAAAATGATCTGACAAGATGGAGAGTCCTTTGTGTTTGGAATGGGATGATTCAGTATATATATTGCCCTCACAACCTGAAAAGAAAAAAATTAATAATAATAATAAAAAAGACAATATAAATTACCTGTCCACGTTTCTCTACTTTATCAGTGAAATAAGATGGATCACCAATCACATTTTTACATTTGGCAATCTAAAAAAGACAGAGAGAGAGAGAGAGTGTAATCATTTTCTCTACAACAAAAGCTTATTTCATTGTCTTTACCTCTCCACCAGATTTGACTCCCACAGCGACCCCACCTTCATAAATAATCTCATCTATCTGCTTGTCAAGCATGTACGTGCCACCATATATAGCACTGAGCCTGAAAAATGTAAAAAAAAGTCACACAATTAAGACAAAATAATACAAATTCGATGAGAAAAATATGCCTTAGGCTTTTTTGATATAAATATTCACCACCCACTCTTTTGATTAAATCACCCCTCACTTAATTAAGGATTTTTGAAAAAGGATTTTAAGTTAGAGGTGAATCTTGACTGGTCTTACCTGGCAAAACCCTGTGGCAGTTCTCCAAGGCCGTACAAAGGATAGAGATATGGTGATTTACCATAACGCTGGATTGAGGTACTGCAAATAAAAATCTATCATAAAAAGCCAAACAAACTGACCCTACTTACCCGTACAGCTGTATGCGCTTAATTGTATCAAGACAGGGCTCGGTTAAGTAACTAGAAACAAAAAGTATCAAAAAACATTATACATGTACATGTTTACTTGTCGTCCCTATGCAAAGCAAGGGCGTGGCCTGTAAAAGAGGCAGTGTTATCGTCAAGTCCATATTTATCATAGACAGCTTTCATGGTACCCTTTGGATCAATGCCCTCTGATGATGATAATAAGGAAAGAATTGGCTCATGGATAATGCTCTTAAAAATGACTTACTGTGTGTGGCTGGCTTGTCAGGTTCATAATCATAAGCAAACTGGAGGAAGTTCTTGAACCTTCTCTTTTCCAACAGACCCATTAATGCTAGAATGCAAGATATATAATCATTGTGATGAAATTGAATTCCAGTTAAACCCCATTTCTAAATAACGCCCAAAGCCCCTCCCCCATGTGTGGGCAATATTTGTTCAAAAATAATCGATAATGCACTTTCAAGATACAAGAGCCACACCCTACTGATTAAAAGTACATACACACATGCCTTTGCAGTAACTCACAGGTAGAGAGTGCCTCTGCCTCAGTGGAAGGAACTTTGTGAATCTTTCCACCTTTCTTAAACACATAGCTACCATCAACTTGCTTGAATTCCAAATATCTGGTCACCCCGGTGTGTATGAGGAGCTTAACAAGCTCCCCTACGAATAAACAAAAGTACAAATGATTAGTACAAATGATGGCAGTTGTACTCATATTACTACACACAAATAACAAACAAGATTAAATGTGTGTGAGGTGCGTCTGTCCGTCGTACCGTTAGCCATGATGAATTTTGGGACAAGGTCAATGTTCCAGTCCCTGGAACGCCCCATGTTTTCCGGTGCCTCTTTCCCATGAATTTTATAGAACTAAAAATATGTAAAATAATAAAATTAATGCAGCAAGGTACAAAATAATGAAAGATTTTAAAATTGAGTGTCGACACTATTAAAATAACTATATAGTCTATTATAACGAAACCCCTAACTGCCACTATCACTGGTCTTTATAATTACATGTACATGTACATGTGCAGCAACCTACATCGTCAAGGATGACAGAGGCAGATTCGCCACCATAGTATTTATTCCTATCCATGTGGAGGACTTTCTTGCCAGCTACAGACAACAAGCCGCTAAGAATGCATTCCTATTAAGAGGAAGAGGGAGAGGGAGGTTAAAATAATGTACATAAGATAAAAAGAGTACTAGTAATAATCCAATGTGTTTTTATCTCTCAGAGCATTCAAAATGTGTAAAATTCTACAATTAATAGTTAAACAAACTGCAAAAATAGTAACACCCCAACTAAGGCAACATAATAGAAAACATATTGTTAAATGTACAATATAATTATATTGGTGGAGAGCTCTTGTATGGCATACGCTATTGGCAGACAGGGAGATTATTTCTATTTCCATGTAACTATCTCAAAATCTGATAATTATAATGAAACTGGAAATTAGAATATTAGTAGATAGAGGGGAGGGGCTAGTTAATTAAGTGCTAAATTTTAATAAGCAACATAGAGAAATAACGAGAACACTTGTCTCGCTAGCTAAAGAGAACTACCAGCATTACTATTAGTGATTTTAATCAAAATTAAATCTCCGAAACATTATAATTACATGTACAATCATGATGAGAGTTGTCCTTGCTCACTTTCAGGCCCGTTCCTAGAACGATTACATCGTATTCCTCATCCATGGTGTCTTAAATCAGAGGCGGAGGAGAGGGAGGGAGAGAGAGCTAAGCAAAAAATGGAGTCGAAAGGTGAGGGAGAGAAAATCCGTCACAGCAAAACGGTCACGTGACCCAACCCCAATAGTATCCGGGCGTGTTGCAAAAATGATAGTATCCGGTCGTGTACGAAAATTTTAAAACCACACCCACCCACGTGCTAAAATGGCTGATGCAAGGATCTTGTTGCCTGTGAAATAACGACAAATTGACTTTATAAATGTCCAGTTAGCTTTACAGGGAAAGAGAGATATATATCATACGTTATTAGTATTAAATGGACGAGGCTCTGCTGAGAGGATTGTTTGATGGCTGCTCCCAGGAAGAGAGACAATTGGTACAAGATCCTTTTTGTGTTTTAGGCTACCTTTTTGCTTCTTTAGACCACAAAATACTTTATACACTTGCAGAACACGCCTGGGTCCTGGAAGACCGCCATTGCTCACTTCAACCAGAGTCATAAGTGGTAATAATAGTAATAGCATCGATTAACAATGATAATAATCTATTCTCTTTAATCCATTTCTTTTACACAATCTAGTAGTGATGATCGTGTTCTTTTCTTCTGTTTACAAATACTAGAGCATCACGTTAAGATGAGGTATGTCCCTTTTGCCTACTTTGTTTGCTACCATAGCAACCGTTACCATAGACACGCTGCCAGTAGCAACGAGGATGTTGTTCAGTTTAGGGAGACTGTTCTTTCGTGGCTTCATGCCTCATCAGTAAGAGAGAGAGGGGGGGAGGGAAATAGGATGAAGGATTATGATATTTAAATTATTTTAGAATGTACACAATTTGAAACCTTTTGTGAAGAACAAGATGGCACAGATTCTGTCTCTGACAGTCATTACTGACTATCCACATAAAGTAATACTATCTTCCTATCATTTATCAATACATGTCATTAACACTCCATTCTTGTCATTTAAAATGAAGTTATGCATGACAAATTAGCAACTATTATTAATTGTTTTAAGTCAACATGTAATCATGTAGTTTTGTCTACTTTTGCTAACCTCATGCATGTACATGTACATGTATTGACACACACATTGACTATTGACTATTGTTCATTATTTATTTATTCATTTCCTTCATTGTGTAGTGGCCTCAGTTTTTCAACAATGTCCTCTGTCTTCTTGGTGGTCAAGACTCCGCCTTAAACTCCTCCCAATCGTCCACCATTGATATGTACCTGCGTACACTGTTGGCTATTGATAATGAGATTGTTGATAGAGAAGTCATTCATACTCAAGAGGTAAGAATTGATGCGGAATTGACACTCTGTTGATTCCACATTAGCACATTATCAATGTAGTTTAACGCAATCTTGATATAGCTTTAACACATCCCTTTTACGTGCCTGTTCTGCTATTAGGAGAATGTTAGGAACACAGTCATTAAAGATCACATGAGGGATAACTGTGTACCTCAGCTGGTGGAATCATGGTTTCAGATATTAGTATGTTTTATTCATTATGTATCCTCTCCATTTATTCCTTTTCCTTCTCTTTTTCTTCGTCTCTCTCTCTCTCTGATATTTGATTGTTCCATTTTTTATTTCTTTTCATGTACATTTACATATAGTCCTGCAGTACTGCTCCTATTGATCCCGACTTGTTGTGTCAGACAATGAATGTGATTGGTTGCTATGTCTCTTGGATTGACATTACACTTGTTGCTAATGACAGATTTGTAGGGTAAGATATATTAGTATATAGCTTTTGGTAGTTTTAATCATTTAATGATTCTGCTTATTGCAGAACATGTTGACAGAATGTTGACATGTTGAACATGTTGACATTGACAGAAACATGCTGTCTTATCTCTCCCTTCTTCTCTCCTTAGGTTGTTGTTGCAGTATTTGTCAGTCAATGCTCTTAGAGAAAGTGCTGCTACTTGCCTTAGGGACATCATTAATAAAGGTGAGAGAGAAAGAGGAAAGAGGAAAAAGGGAGAGAGAGAGAGAAGACTCAGAAGCTGGAACAGGTACATATATTGTTATTGTATTTTAAAATTATTTATAAGGAATGGAGCCACTTTCTAAACTTGAGTTAGTCAATTCTCTTGTGAAGCTACTAGAAACCAATGGAATCCTGGATACCCAAAACACAGTAATGATCAGCTAATTAATAGTTATTAATAGTTATTAATGATACATTAATATGATGTGTCATTAGTTGAGCAATGATGAAGAGAGTGTTGAATTTAGAGTCAAAATGGCCGACCTTGTCAACAGCATCGGGTCTGCCCTTATATCCTGCCATCAAAAGTTAGTAATTTTTGATACTTAGAAAGAAATTACAATTTTAATATTTTACATCACTCTTTTATTAATTAATATTAGATTAATTAAAGGTGATGATGAAGCTCATGCCCTCCTATCACTTGTGTCTATTCGTCACAATGTTCCTTATTTGCTGAGGTTAGTAGCCACTCCCCCTCAGTCACATGACTGTTGCCATAGTTACCTTACCGACGAGGACGATGGTGTGTCCGAGAATGTGTTAGGATTTGCCACTCAGTTCGTGTCCGTTCTAAAGGTAATTATTTATTATTTTTATTAATTTATTTTTGTTTGTAGCACCTTCCTTATCTTGCTGATGATGACAAGCAAAGTCTGCAGGTTTTGGCTATTTTAAAATATTAAATATTTTCTGTCATTCTCTCAGGCTCTTTTATCAGCTGTTGTCCTTAAACTGAAATATGATGAGAGTTATAACTTCCATAATCCTGTGAGTGGAGAGAGAGAGAGGGGGGGGGGGAAGAAGAGGTAGTGGTTTGATTGTGTATTTTGTAGGGAGAGGATGAAGGATTGTTCATGGAGTTTCGTTCAAAATTACGAACACTTTTTGACAACATCAGCCAAGTGGTAAGAAATGAAATCACATATACAATGTACACATGTACATGACATACACGTACGTGTATATGATTTTTTGTGCATTTCTATCCTTTAGGACCCATCTCTTGTTATTACTGTATCACAGTCACTGATATCTCAGTGTTTAGCTGATATTGATAATCAGTCGTTTCCTGATACTGAGGTATCCTTGTTGCTCTTTCATTACATCAGTGAGCACAATTTTGAGAAGGTGAGAGAATTAATTCATATTATACACGTACATCTCTTTATTTTTACTACTTCCTCAATTTTAGTTGTTTGGCTCCTCTTCAACCATTGGTTCTCCATTCCACACTATCATGATGCAGGTATAGTACATCATGTGATTGTCATGTGACCACGTGTCTCTCCTTCTCTTATAGATTCTTGATAGTAATTTGTCCCATTATCCTCATGCAGCTGTGTTGTTACAAGTGAGAGAGAAATGGAATCGCTTTTCATTTTTAAAAATATTATTATTATGCTAGAATATTTTATTACGTTTCCTACTGATTGACGCATGTGTATATGTACATGGTATGTAGAAAGTTTGAGCGGATTAAGATCAAAATTAGATTTTTAAGGAATTTTTTTAATTGTCCCAATATTTAGCTCGAGATGAAAAGTAGCTATAACAGATGCATTATGGATGGTCACTCTCCTTCTCTCATTATCCTATTCTTTCATTCTCTTTCTAGTATTACGAGGCTATCCTGAGACATGAAAAGTTTTTCTCCACCTCTCCAACATATATCCCTAGAGTCATGGTACGAGCAGGCACGATTACCATGGCAACAAACCACACCCCCTCTCTCCCTTTAGGAATCTCTCCTGGATCAGCGTGGCCTACGTCACGCTAACCCTGGGGTCTGCTCCCGTGTCTGTTATCAGCTCCTGAGGTTTGTAAAAGCGGCCAGAGCTCATATTGGCGACATAGCTGTGAATGTATTGAGTAATATTGAAGCTATTCTCAAAGAGAATCAGGTGGGCCTGTCTCTATACATGCACATGTATTATTAAATGAATTGGCTTTGAAGGCACAAATTTTTTTATGAGTTATGGCTGCATAGTTATGTAAAACCCATTATAAATCTAGTCTTGTAGCAGCTGTCATTGTTTTTATGCTTTGTTATTATTATTATTATTATTTTAGACAAGTTTCAGTTCTATCTATTCAAACTGACAATACACATTATATAAACAAAGAATCATGTGCCATTTTGAATATTAGCATTCACTTTCTGTTTTCAGCGATACACTATAATCATGTATATTACTGCATGGTTTGATTGAGTATATGTATAATTGAATGTGTTATTCTTTGGATTAGGATTCTGTTGCTGGTCAGATGTCCTTGAGTCCTAATGATGTTTTGTTTCTTTATGAAGCAGCTGGATATCTCATCGTACATGCAGCACAATCACCACAAGTAATTATTGTTATTTTGCCTCTCTCTCTCTTCGTTTCTTTATTCATTTTTGTTCTCTCTCTCTCTCTCTCTCTAGAATAAATGTGTATTAATGAGAAACCTCTTAGATCCATTACTCGCTAAATTCAAATATTACTTGAACCAAGTAAGCCAGTCTTTAGTAATTTCAAATCTATTTCTCTTTAGCTTTATTTAATTACTACACCACAAGAGCAAGACCAGATCTCTCAGCTACTCTATTACCTACTGTCATACATTAGGTATCATTGTATTTATTTTAAGTCATAAATTTTGTAACTTTTTAAAGTCGGACCAGTAAAGTGTTTCCTAATCATCAAATGACGGTCCAGAGTGGTTGTGTAGAGTGTTACATAGAGGTAAGGAAGATTATCAGTACTACAGGAGTATTGGTGATTCATTATTGTTGATGTATATACATGTATGCACTTGTTACTGTGTAGTTTGTGATTCTATTGATCTTGGGACTAACCTGTTTATGCAACTTGTGTCTTATAACAAAACTTATCCTAAGATTATCATTGTGATAGAGTATTAATAACATTGGTTTACTCTTGACTTTAATGTACTGCATGTTTGTGATTTGACTTTTGATGATAATGCCTTGAAATTGATACAGAGTTTTAATTGCTAGGGGATAAATCTCCATTTTTATAGTTTTATCTGATGCACATACATGCATGTACTTACATGTATGTTGTGTAGAAAGTTTGGGTTGATTCTGATCAAAATTAGATTTTTTATGAATTTTTAAAATTACTACAAAATCTATATACTATTGTAAGGCTTTTCGACTAATGAAGCATGCCCTGTAGTTCAATAGAAATGTGACACTTACAGTGTAATAGCAAATTACTTTTA